GGTAGCCATTCCCTTCTCCAGGGGATCTTCCCAACCCAGGGATTGAACTCACATCTCCTGCATTGCAGACAGATTCTTTACCATCTGAGCCAACAGGGAAGCCCGCTTTGGAAGAAGTGGAACATGAATACTGGCAGGAAAACTAATGTCTCTGCCATGAGATGGAAGGGGGATGGAGGGGAAGAGAGACTGGTCAAAATCCCCATGTTTTCCTATTGGATCTTGGAGCCATCTATTACTGTGTATCTGAGCCAACGACCTGGAGAGAAGATAGCAGTTTGGACACATGGTATTTACAACTTCCTGCTGTCCTCTCCATCCCCGTGGGCTAAACAGCCACCTGGATGCCCTAACTTTCAAGGCTGAGTGTTTAGATATATGCAGTTTCACTGCTTTCCTGCCTCAGAGGCAAAGGTGGCTAAAGTAGGTTTCCTGATAAAGTAGGAAATAGGCTAGGTGGCCAATGTCATCAGGGACTCCTGTCACTAGTTGTCTGACTGTCCATGTATTATAACAGACAGACTGCAGGGTCATGAGGTTGTCTTAGCACTAAGTTGTGGGTTGTGGAACCACTGCTTAAAAACTCCTAAGATGTAATGGAAAAACCCAAAGGAATTTTTTGGCCAGCCCAACGCCAGGCACTTCACATGCGTTATTATCTCTGTTTATGGAAGAGGAAACTGAAGCACCTAGAGATTAGATGATTTGCCCAAATTCATGCAGCCAGTTAGTAACTGAATCAGGTGTGACCTCGGTGTCTCGCCTTCATAGCTCATGTTCTTACCCCGACCACTAGACTCTCCTTCCATTCATCTGATTTGTGTCTGTCTTGTCAAGACAGACAAAGCTCCCTGTGTTGCCCCTCTGCCTCTCTTGAAGGTTCCAAACTAGCCCTTTTCCTGGACCAGGAGATCCTTTTCCAAACCCTGTGTTCGTCAACCTTCTTTTTAAATTTCATTTCCCCCAGAAAGGGTCTCTTTGATAACCCACTGGGTCTGGCCTTGCTACTCTCTCCATCTTCCCCTTCAACACCATATCCCTCTGTTCAGCAGCTGCTGGTTGGGCCCTGGTTCAGGTATTTCTGTTGTAGACGACCTGTGTATTTTTCACGTGTTTCTCTCCTGTCTTCCAACCTTGGTGGGAGTCAATGGGCTTTGGTTACAGTGTGGGCTCTGGATCCCCTTCCCTCTGCTGCACATACATCCCACTCTAGTTTGTGCATCTTCCCTCCAACCTGAGAACCAGATTCCTACAACCATTGCCTCCCCACCCTGAGCCCATAATGGTGCTAGAATCATCCCCTGTGGGAACAACACTGCTGACCTCCAGGATTGCTTTCTGGTTACTGCCCTTTCTCTTTCCCTCTCTCAACAGAATTTTTTGAGAGACTAGTCTATATCTGCTGCTTCATTTTTCTTACCTCTCATCTCTCTTCAACCAACCACAGCTTGGCCTCTGTCGTGGCATGCCATTGACTTTGTCTGGCCAAGGCACACATGGCCTTCATATTGCTTATCGATGGACTCTTCTCAGCCCTTATTTTCTGTTACTCTCCCTGGCATCTGACACTGTTAACAGTCCTCTTTCTGAAAGCTCTATCCTTCCTTTATTACCATGACATCTTGTCTCCTGGTTCTCTTTAAACTTACCATTTTTCTGTCTTCTTATTTTCTTCTCCTTTATTACATGTTCGTGTTCACCAGGCCTCTGACCTTGGTCCTTTCCTCTTCTCACCCTATACTGTCTTTCTAGGTGATTTAATATACACCAATTATTTTAAATGCCACCATTGTGCTATTGACCCAGATATATTTATGTTTCCAACACAGATCACACACCTGAGATTCAGGTCTGTATATCCAGCTGCCTGTTTGCTGGCCGACTCCTGCTGCATGTCCACTGTCATCTCAACCTCGGCATTTCTGAAACCAACTCCTCAGCTTCTCTTCCTGTTTGATCTGCTTGCTGCTTTCTTCTCTTGGTCAGAGGATCTAACAGCTACGTGGTCCTACAAGTCAGGATCTAGAGAACCATCCTGGATCCCTCCTCTTTCCTTCCACTATGTCAGTCAGTACTGCCAACTCTGCATCTCAAAGTTTTCCCTGAAGGCATCCTTTCTTTTCCATCACCCCCACATTTGCCTTCCTGGGTAACTGCATGAGACTCCCAGAATCACTCATTGTCCCCAAGACTATCTCTCCTGCTTTCTTTTTGCACCCAACAGGACCCCTTAAAAGCACAAATTTAGCCATTCATTCACTTGACAAATGTTTCTTTAGTGCCTATTATGTTCTAGGCACTGTCCTAAGTGTCAGAGATACAGAAGTAGATGCTATAAATAGACTAACGCTTCCTGATGGAGTTTACCTTCTAGTTGGGTGGCTGAGGGAAAATGACAATAGAGAGGTAAATAATTCTATGTCAAGTGGTCATAAGTTCTATAAAGAAGAATAGAGAAAGATTAGGGGGATGAAAACAAATCATGGGGCAGTGCTGGGCTATTAAGGGGCTCAGGGGAGATGTCTCTTAAGAGGTGACATGGGAGCGAAGATATAAAAGTGAGGAGGGAGTAAGCCTTGTGACTATCCAGGGGTGGTGAGAAGAGTCCTTCAGATAGAGGAGACAGGGTGCTTTTTGTGTTTGAGGACCAAGAAGTCAGTGTGGTTGGGAAGGAAGAGGGTTAGGCTGAGGACGGACAAGTATTGGGAAGGCCGGATGACATAGAATCCTGTGGGCTATTGCAAGGACTTTGGCTCTGTGAGTGAGAGAAAAGCCATGAGAAAGTGGGGGGCAGAGGAGGGACATGACCCAGGTTTCACCTCAGAAGAACAGATGTACAGGCCAGAAGCAGAAAGACCAGGTAGAAGCAGGTGCAGTAATTCAGGTGAAAATAGGATGATGACCTGGACTGGGACCATAGCGTACAGTGGTGAGAAGGGGTCAGGTCTGAGAGACATATCTTGGAGGAGAGATGATGAGAAACTTGTGCGGACTGGATGGGGAGTACTAAGAAAGAGAGGAAGCAAGGCTGATTTCAAGGATTTCCATAGGACAACTGGAAAGATAGGAGTTGCCACTTCCTCATATGCAGAAGATGACAGGAGATTTGGCCACTGGGCAGGGAAGGACCACTGCAAGTGTGGTTGGGACAGGTTGGGCTTGTTAAGTCTTGACCTAGATATGGATGGGGAGTAGGTACTTGGATTCACAAGGTAGAGTCAGGGAGGAATTGGGGCTGGAGATCTCACTTCTACCATAAATCCTCCTGTGCCTCCCCTTTGCCCTGAGGCCAGAGTCTACCCTGGGTGGGGCAGGCAGAGGAGCCCTCTCAGCCCAGGCTGGGGAAGCTGAAAAAGTCAGGAAATCAAGCAAAACCTGGGGCTAAGTAGGAAGCAAAATCCAAACCAAAGAAGGGAGCTCAAATAGGTTATCAACTTGAAAACGGTCAAAAGTAACCATGATATTAATCCTTATCTGTCCAGTGGTCTTCAGCCCAGTTTTTATTCTGGAAAACCTTTCTCACCTCTCTGAGTAGGTTAGTGTCTCTGTTAATATGACTTTATAGCACCATATATATAGCTCCTCTTTGAAGCACTTATCCTAATTGACAGTTGATACTTGTAATTTTAAAAATTACATTGAGAGACTTCCCTGGTGGTCCAGTGGTGATGCTTCCCCTTCCAGTGCAAGAGGTGTGAGTACGATACCTGGTCAGGGAACTAAGATCCTACATGCCTAGAGACCAAAAAACAGTGAACAGAAACCTTATTGTAATGAATTCAATAAAGACATTAAAAATGGTCCAACATCAAACAATATTTTTGAAAGATTACATCAATAGTACATTGGGTACTTGTGATTTACATCTGTGTTGTTGATTATTGCATATGTTTGCCTCTTCTCTTAGATTGGAAGTTACATGAGGCCAGGGATGACTTCTGTCTTTTTTTTCTACCCTAATGAGATAATGAACAAATTAAGGAGCATCTAGAAGAATCCCAAAAGCAGGAGGAGAGGAGCACAGGGAGGTTGTGGTCAAGGGTGATTGCTTGGAACACATGGTGTGTCTAAGACTGGTTTTGAGGGGTTGGCCATGATGCAGGATGTGGGGGAGCACAGGGCTGGGCTGCTATAGGCTCCTAGGCCAGGTATTCAGGACTATTCAGGGCCTGACTCCTTCCTGCCCCCAAACCTCATCTCTCCCAATCTCTTTCTCACCTGTCTTCATTTTTATAATCCCAGTGGACTGTCTGTGGCTCCCATACATTTGCTATTTCATTTGCTGAGCCTTTCTTCACTCTTCCCTCTTAATCTTCTATTCTTCTAAAAAATATTTATTTATTTGACTGTATTAGGTCTTAGTTGTGGCAGACAGGCTTTTCTTTGAAATGCACAGGCTTAGTTGCCCCGCAGCATGTAGGATCTTAGTTGCCCTACCAAGGATTGAACCTGTGTCCCCTGCATTGTGAGGCAGATTCTTAACCACTGGACCACTAGGGAAGTCCTATAACTTCTATTCCTGTCCATGGCAGGATATTGTTGTTTATCTTTCAAACTAATTCAGTTGTCTCTTTCTCCAGGCCTTCATAATCCCCTAGATGTTCATGCTTTCTTCTCTTCTATACAGTAAGGATCATTATGGGCCAACTAACCAGCAGCTCCACGCAATCAGAACCCCCAGCACATAGCACAGTGGTAGCACATAGTAGGTGCTTAAGAAATGAGCAAAGGAGTGAGTGAATGAATGGCCATTTAACCCAGATTTCTTGAAACATTATAGACTTCAAACAGCCCTTTTATCACCCGGTACATGTACTCGTAGTTATCACACCATGGGTCCGGACTTTTCTTCTGAAAATTGTGGTCACTGCAGAAATAGTGCAGTAGTTCCCAAGCTAAGGTCTTTGGACTCCCAGGGAAAGTCATAATAAGGCTCTGAGAGCTTCTGTCAATGTCTCAAATAGTCCCACAGAAATCATACTGTTATCAGCAGAGCCCACCTAAAACATCAGGTTTCTCTGCTTTTAGCTGGATTGTGCTAACAGTGGTTATCTCATGCAGGAGCTGAGATTGGCTGGGGATGACTTCATAGGAGTCCCTGGGGTCTGTGGAAGGAAAAACAATAAAGGGGTGCTGGGAAGTTAAAAGGCTGAAACGGCTATGGAGAAGGATGGTGCCCTGGGTTCAGAATGGAGAGCTGTGAGAACTGGCCCTAGACTCCAGCAGAATGAGCCATCTAACTTCTCTGGGCCCCCACCCCCTCAGCTGGAAAGGGAACAATTGTAACTTCCTTGAGGGCCAAAGGAGGGTGAAAGTGTCTCTAAAGGAAAAGGCGAATCCAGAGGCATGATAACACCCAGCTTCAGAGGCTCCCGGGGTGGAGTGGGGGGAACACAGGCAGAGAGCGTAAGAGAGCTGTTCCTGAGGTTGGAGCATGGGGTTCAGAGAGGCCTGGGCCACATATGGTGAGGGGGAGTCCGGCAGCCACCAGATTCTGAAGGTGAAGTCACACCAAGGTATATGGACAACAAGGTCCTTTAGGGAAAAATCCCAAATTGCCACTGGCTCCCCCTAGAGAAGGAAATGGCAACCCACTCCAATATTCTTGCTTGGAAAATTCCATGGACAGAAGAGACAGAGAAGCCTGGTGGGCTACAGTTCATGGGGTCACAAAGAGTCGGACACGACTGAGCAACTAACACTCGAGTATAGTGAGTGACGTGAATCCCAGTGCTCCCCTCAGTGCTTCTCGGGGAAAAGTCCGAAGCACAGAATTTACTCCCAGCCCTGCTCGTTGGGTGTTGATTTCAGCCGGAAGGTCCCGACCCAGCTGTAGCTCCCACACATGGAGCTCTTTTGGGAGTGCAGGTGTTGCTGCAGCGATGCTCAGGGCAAACGGCCAGGTCACTGGGACCAGATGCTGGCTCCATGGCAACGAGGACCAGAGTGAATGAAGCCCCAGTGGCTGCTGGGAGCCCTTGGTGGGAGGTGCCACTGTGCCCTGGCTGAGCCATAACAGGGCAGATGAACACTCTGTGCTGCCGCTGCACCCACCCCTCACCCCCACCCCCAGGCTTCCCCTATAAACCCTCCATTCCTTGAGACCAGTGAAAATGCTGCCTTCCACGGAAATTCTGCCTCCCCTGAGTCCCAACTCAGAGTTTATTCATTCTTTCTCTGTGTTCCTACAACACATTGCAGACACCTCCACTTACTTCTTATTTTGTCCTGCCTCATGTTTTGATGATTTCCTTTCTTGCCTTTTTCCTCCACCACACTGTGAGCAGGCTCGCATCTCGTCTGCACTTGTCCTTTCCTGAATGCTGAGCCTGACTGCTGCGAGAAGTCAATAAATGTTGACTGTGGGAGAAAACATCCTTGGTGACCAAACCTGATGCCTGATTTGCTGGTGGCCTGGTATGACCAAGCAGGCACTGAGCACCATTACCCACACCTGGGGCACATTCTTCCCTGTGTGTGCTTTCAGTGTCAACAATGAAAAAGGCTGAAATAATGACTGGAGGACACCTTGGAGAGAGTTTCTATGAAAACGTCAAAAGATATCTCCAGTGAAGATCACGTGGAAACCACTCCAGAGGTATTAATGTTCTACTGTTGAAATTTCCAGAAAAGGTGATGGTGTCAGAGCGATCCTGTTTTGTACCTAACAGATTCTTTTTTAAAAAACTTTTTATTTCATATTGGAGTTTAGCTGATCAACAATGTTGTGATAGATTCAGGTGTGCACCAAAGGGACTCAGTCATACATATACATGTACCCATTCTCCCCCAAACTCCTCTCCCATCCCGACTGCCACATAACATTGAGTAGAGTTCCTGTTGGTTTTTGTGTTTTTATTTTTTTTTATATTTTTTGTTTACTTATTTATGGCTGTGCTGGGTCTTTGTTGCTGCACATGGGCTTTTTCTAGTTGCAGTGAGAGGGAGCTACTCTCTAGTTGCAAAAGCAGTGCATGGGTTTTTCATTGCAGTGGCCTCTCTTGTTGTGGCTTGAAGGCTCTACAACATGTGGGCTTCAGTAGTTGGGGCACACGGGCTTAGCTGGCCCTCGGTGTATTGAAATTTCCAGGACCAGCAATCAAACTAGTGTCCCTTGCATTAGCGGTAGATTCTTAACTGCTGGACTGCCAGGAGAGTCACCGGGCAGATTCTCGAAAACAGAAAATCCTGCTGGAGTTCTTCCCTTCAACATGCTCAGCCCATTTCCTAGGAGGAACCGCCCACCCCCACCATGTTCTTCCCTGCATGCCTGGAGTTGAAGCTAAGCCAGCAGAGACCCAGCTGGCTCCTGTGGGGTGTGTGTGGGGCTACTGAAAGCAAGGAAAGAAGTGATGTCTGCTGGTGACCTCGGCAGCCTGGGACCTGCTGCAAGACGGTCTAATGGTGGCAGCCCCACGCTTGTATTCAGGGACAAGGAAGCACCTGATGGTTGCTTTGTCTACCACGGCCCCTCCAAGTCACTGCGCAGGAAAAATACTTGCCTCTGTCACTAGGCTGCACCTGTAAATAAATCGGAAGATAAAAAGGCCTTTCTGCTTTTCAAACTGTGACAGGCGCATCCTGGTAAATTGCCTTCATGCTTTTTTAATAGAAGTAAAAAGGTTTGGGAGGATTGCGTCGCCCTAATACAGAAGCACTTTTCTTTCATTTGAACGGCCGCAGATGGGATAATGAACGCATTTTTAACTTTGTCTCTAAACAAAATACAAAGAACCTGGAGTTAGAAAAACTTGCCTTTGTGGCATTTCGAGGAAAAAGTAAGATGGGAGTGGGTGGAAACCAGCCCCCCAGGCGCTGGGAGCTAAAGGTTGGGGATTTGTTCCCCTCCTAAAGCATGCTGCCTTCTTTTGGACTGGAAGTGTGTTTGCTTCCTGGATTCAGAGACCCACTTCTGTATCTCAACCTCGGTTTATTTATCTACAGAATAGCTGTAAGCTTCTTCATTCTTGTTCTTGTTGGAAAAGCATGAAAACTTCCCTGGCCCAGTCCAGGCAGATGGCAGGTGGTCAAACAGCATCAGTTAAAGGTCATACTTGTTTTGTATCAGAATGTTCATGTGCCTGGGCACATGTTGCGACCAAGAAGCAGGCATTCAAGGCGTGCCACCCCTCCCCGCCCACAGCCCACTATGAGGAGGAAGGCTAGGTGAGTGGTTTCGGTAGGCCTGTCAGACACTCAGCCATGATGTCTGGTTCCTGGGGTCTCTCACCTTCTTGCAGCCCTTCCTGGGATTCAGGCTTGCTGGTATCTCCTCCTTCCACCAATCCCTTCTCTGGGCTCTCACTGGGCTCTCAGTGCCTCTAACACTGATGTGCAATTCTTTATCTACGCATTGGTCTTTGCTCTAAAACTGGGAGGAAGAGAAGACAAGCCTCATGCTTGGTGGATGCTCTCATTCTTAGTGCCCAGCACAGCATCTGGATGCCCAGTGGGTACTTGCAATGAACTGTTTATGTCCCCAAATTCATATGTTGAAGACCTAACCCCCAGTGGGATGCTATTTGGACATGAAGTCTTCGGGAAATAATTAGGGTTAGATGAGTTCATGAGGGTGGGACCCTCATGATGGAATTCTGCACCCTCCTTCCCCACTGCCCCCCCCCCCACTCTGCCCACAGGTAGAGAAAGCTGCACACACAGCAAGATGGCTGCTGACAATAAATCAAGAGCAGAAGGCTCAGAAATAAACCTACCTTGCTGGCACCTTGATCTTGGACTTCCCAGCCTCCAAAACTATGAGAAATGAATTTCTACTGTTTCAGCCAACCAGTCTATGATATTTTGTTATGGCAATCCTAGTTAAGTGCTCAAAGAATGTTTGTGGATGAATGAATGAGTGATCAGGAGACATTTGGCTGTCTCACACTTGGGATGAACAGTGAAGCTGTCCAAGTTCCCCTGTGGAGAAGAGTGTGGTTGAGCTCCAAAGCTGAGGGCTCTGCCTGCCTCTCTGCCCACCCATCGCCTGGGACAAAGGGGGGTGAAATTGGCTGTGTAAACTTTACCTTCTCATCTACTTCAAGGGTATAAAAAGGTGAAGAGGTTGAGAGTGCTGGGAGGCTTTCTCTGGAGTGAGCTATCAGTCGGCCGTGTCCCAACTGCTCTCATGGGAAAGGCTGCTTCCCCCACTGACCAAATTAAGGAACTGGACAAGAGCCCCACGAGAGCTGAACTGAGGCCTGAGAAGGTCTAAAGGTGAGAGGCTGTGGCTGGTAGCCCGAGGAGGCTGGGCATAGAGGGACTAGATGGCCTCAAATTGCTGCCTTTTTAGAGTCTGGCCGGGTATGGAGGTGGGGGGCTCCCTCCTCTGGGCTGGTGTGGACCTCACAGAGGGATACCAGCATCTCTGAAGGTATCAAGCATGGGCCAGAGGACTGGGTCCTCAGCTGCAGGGCTAGAGGAAGTGAGGGTCATAAACAACCAGTAGAGGAGGTGTCATCCATAACAGGAGACCACATAAGCCCCCGACAAGAGAAAGTGTGTTAGTTGCTAAGTCATGTCCAATTTTTTGTGACCCCATGGACTGTAGCCTGCCAGGCTCCTCTGTCCATGGAATTCTCCAGGTAAGAATCCTGGAGAGGGTTCCCTTCTCCAGAGGATCTTCCTAACCCAGGGATAGAACCAGGGTCTCCTGCATTGTTGGCAGACTCTTTACCATATGAGTTGCCAAGAGAAAGACTTGAGCTTTGGAATCTGCCATCAGCCTACAAGTCAAGTGAGACCTCCCTGGCCTTCCTTTCTCCTCCCATCTCTACCCTATCTGAACTTTGGGTGAGGGTAGGGATCCAAGCAGTCATCAGTGAATAGAGGAGGAGGTGGGGTGAGAACACAGTGATGAAACTGATCATCCCTGTACCCCACTCCTCAAGGTTCCCACTGGAGCAGGTCCAAGCTGGGTGATGGAAGTCTTAAATGGGATGAGAATTGGAGGTTCTAATAGTAGATTGATCTGGAGTTTAAAAAAAAAAATCTGAGTGTTACCTCCCAAACTAAGGGGTTTTTCTGAGAGGTTCTCCAATGCCCAGGAAAGAATATGCTTGAAGGCACTGTAGCAGAATTAAAAAAAAAAAAGATTGAAGCTGCT